TTGAGTTAAAATCAATAAACATGGGGTTAATCAGATTAATAGTAATTGGTAGTATACGAAAATTATACGGTACTTTTGATAGTATTAGAATAAATTGACAGATTTTGCATTTCTTATTTACATATTTGTTCAACCTCGAGTCTCGTACCTCCAATATTTTTTAAGTGCGAATAAATTCCAATCACTATATGCCTTATGAAGAAAAAGCATCATAAGGAACTATGTCTGAGAGAACCTTACTACTTTTCGATCTTGGCCAGCGTGGTCGACCTTAGCCTGATCCCTCTTGTATAGCAGGGAAACTCGTACCCAGCAAGTGACAAATATTTACCTATAATATAACATAATGTATGCAACAAACCTTTACGTTATATACCTTGGGAGGTAACCAAAGAGAATAGAGTACTAAGGTGAATATTTAATTAATACGAACGCTTGTTCGAATCTGGTTACATAAGATTAAGTATTAGGGTCTGTGAATTGCTGTGTTTTGTTCCGATATTTACTATTGTTTGGTATAATCCTGTGCATACATAATGTACATATAAGTGATATAGGGTTTTATTTAACTATTCGGACTAGTTGTTAGAGCATTCAAGAGTGTGTGTATAATTTTGCATAATAATAATGTCGTCCTGACCGATTTCAGCCACGGCGTCGAATCTCCCTGAGACAAACCAGATGATATTATAGTGTAGCGCGTGTACGCGCAGACACGAGTGCACTCTCTATTCCTTTTACTATTAAAGTCTGATGAGCCGATACTTCGACAGTCGACACAACCAGTGAAAATTAAGGCACAGGACTGACTTTACGTTTTTCCGAGGGACGAGAGCGAAACACCGCCAACTTCCCAACTCCTGGCTGTTACTGAGAATTTCTTGACAGAAATACTCAATAATTGAACTTGGCCCAACCCAGGACTCGAACCTAGGACCTCCAGATGTGCAGCCGTACATGTTACCCCACCGAAGTATATAATTGAATGAACTATTTGTATGGTATGAAGTAGATAAGAAATAAATAAATAAATAAATATGTTGGGACATTAACACACATCGCCATCTAGTTCCATAGTAAGCTACGAGGCTTGTGTTATGGATACCAGATAGTTGATACCCTATACATATATAAATTTAAATACATACATATTATAAATATAAACACCCATGACTGGGGTACAAACATTCGTGTTCATCACACAAATGAATGCCCCCAGCGGGACTCGAACCCGCGACCGCTGGCACTGCAAGTAGGGTCACTACAAACTGAGCCAAACATGTCCAAACATTATCCAATACGAAAGAAAGCCAACATGTCAGCCATAAAAAAGCTAAATCTAGATAGAAAGCTTAAGGAAAACGTAGAAAAAAAACCTAAGCTTAAGAATTTATATGACAAGTAAATAAATTTTATTCAAATATATGCGGTAAAATAGTAGAATTTATTCCAAACGGCAAATCTGCATTTCTTAGGAGATTTTGCGAGGTATTAGAACATGGGGATATTTCCAGATTAAGTTATACTAGCGGCTCACACTCGTTTTGCTCGGTCTCATTCTTAGGTACGATTTACAACATACGTACACATAACTGTCTTTTGGGCTTCGATGCAGTCTAGTAAATATATGAACTTTATAGGAATTTCTTATAAAAAAATCATAATGAGAATTAAGATATTATACTCTTTCCTACAACGTCGGTTAAAACAAAACTGTGTTAGTGATGGCCTTGTGTATGACGCAACTGTTCCGCAGTGGGACAATAGGTCTCACGTATATTGTACCTTTTTCGAGATAGATTGAAAAGCGCATCTATTTTATTACATATGCATTTACATATTTCTGTCTTTACAGATATAAAGAAGTAATAAATTATGGAATAGTCAAAATTGTACTAAAGAATTTGTTTTGTTTTTATTTTAAAAATATATTATTATCTATGTATACATATAGTAAAATAGTATATTACCTATGACAAAGCGAAATCTGTTGTGCCGTATCCGTATCCGAAATGTGTTTTTTTTAAAAACCATGTCTGGTTCGTGTTGTGTACAGGATATAAATCCTAAAACAGTAGTTATTGAAATTTTTATCTGTTTGTTTGTATGTTTGTTTATCTGTTTGTCTGTATATCTGTGTGCATTAGACACAAAACGTACTGAATCGATTTTAACTACATTTTGTGTAATGATAATTTATGATACCTTTCACCACCTACAGGAAAGTCTTCATTCCTACGGGAAAGCACAATAACTTGTTCTTTCGAGTCATCCTTAGATATTTACATGGCTTACGTCGCCTAAACTTTAAGAGATAAATCAAAACAATGTTCTATAATTTTGTAGGTCTTAAAAATATGTACAGAAATTATTCCACTATAGTTTATGTGTATGTGCTAAGGTACACTCGCACTAACTATTTTTATCTATTTAAAACGTACACAGGGACGGATCCGAACAAAGCGAGAGTAACTCGCTAGTTAATTATATTTTACTATACTTGTTTATATTATTTACATATCTATACAGATAGATAAAACTGAAGTGTCTGTTTGTACTGTCAAAACAGCGTTTTACTAAATATGCATATAAAATTATATAGGGTACTTATAAGGAAAGATTTTTTTTTAATTTTTGTCTGTACGTCTGTCTGTTTGTTCCGGATAATCTCTGAAACGGCTGGACTGATTTTGACGGGACTTTCACTGGAAATAGCTCATGTTATAGGGAGTAACATAGGCTACTTTTATTTTAGAAAAGAATTAGAGTTCCGCTCAACAAAATAAAAACGTACCTAGGGTCGAACCCGAGCGAAGCGAGGGTGAGTTACTAGTTTATTATATATTAGTATTTTTTTCTTGTTACATAACTTCATTTATTATTCACGCCCTTCCGTCTCAGAATTTGGTATTTTCTAAACCTAAAGGTTGCCTAAAAATATATTAAGGCCGCCTCTTATACATTTTCCAACCTCTCTGTATACTCGTATTTTCTCGTATTTTTGAATGAACAATAAAGAGTTATTATTGTTATGTATCTTTTTAGAGTAAGCAGGTTCAAAGGGGCCGTCTTTTATCTTCTCTGGCTGGGTTCAAACAAGTGAGAGGAGTCAGATACGTTAACAATTATATTATTATAATTACCAACCGAATTGCCTTCGCTTTGCTCGTATCTAGATGCCTATTAGTGACTTATGTGTTATTTCAGGTCGTAGTCTATCTATATACATATTTTGTATATATTATATATAGTTATATTTTTAAGGTTTATATATGTAACAGTATTTTTGTCCCTTTTGATGTATCTTCTGGCACTTAATGAACCTGCTACTTAACACTATCTTTCACATCCATGGGTTGACTGGAAGAAATCTCTTTAAGGGTAAGTCCACCTTTGCCTTTGCCCTTTAATATGCAATTTCAATATTTTGTTTCATAAGTGCAATAAAGAATATATTAAAGAATATACTATAGGTATTAGGTTAGCGCAAAAAAACGAAGGGCATTTTTATAAAAATCAGCTCAAAAAATTGTTTTTTAGAGATCGCTCATATTTTTTTTAAATTTCCAAAATGGTCATTAATGATTTTTTTTATATTCTTTTTCTCGATATTTTATTATTATCTAGACTGAAAAAGATTTCGATTCTGAAAATTTCAAGTCGATATTTTAATTTCTAGACGTCGCGTCGCTCATAATTTTTTTAACTACATGAACAACTTAACACATTTTCATACGAGACACGAAAAAAAGTGACATTTTCTTGCCACCCTACTAATATATGTATTCCAAGTTTCATCAAAATCTTTGCAACTAAAAGAAGTACCATTTGGTACATCTTTATATTTATACGCAGTACACGCACATAAAAACTTTAACATTTTTAATATTAGTCTGATTCCATTCCATATTTAATTAAAATTTCAATCATTTAATAGTCATCCTGCGAAAAATTTCACAGTGAATCTTAAATCCCCTTTTGAAATCTGCGTACAACACATTACGTACGTACTAGGGACGCTCGATAAATGTATGTACACACTCGAACATCCATTATAACAGAACGAATTGCCACAATTCCCAGAAAGAATTGGGTAAAACTTTTTGTTATATTTAATGTATGTAATATATTTTGTTGAAAGAGTGTTAATACGCAAATATTTAGCATTTAAAAGGGAGAAATGTGACTTTGTTTTTTGCAAAACAAATTTTAATGTTATAGATTTTGCGTAAATTCTTTCATATAATGAAACTAACGACTCACTCTCGCTCCGCTGGGGTTCGTCCCTAGTTACTTTTTAAGGTTTAGTATAGGTTTCACAGAGATAAGACATTTTCCCGCAGTAAAAAGTATCCTATATGCTGACCCGGATAACCAGCTATCATCATACCAAATTTCATCAAAATCTATCTAGTGGTTTTCTCGTGATGCGTTCCTAGACGTACAGACTGAAAACCAGATAGACAGACAAAAATTGTAAAAACTAGATTCCGCCTCTGTATCGATAATAATGACTATTTCATAAGATTTTTCGAAAAATATTTAATATATATTCGACTATTCCTAAATTGAAAACATTTTTCCAAAATGTATAATTTTTTTTAATTGATAATCCTAAAGCTCGTCTACTGCTACTAAACAAAAAAAAACAAACAGGGAAAGAATAGGTACTGTAATCTTATTTCCCCATTCTTCATTCTTATTTCCCCATTCTTCATTCTTTCTTCTGTAATCTTATTTCCCCATTCTTCATTCTTTCTGGGTGCAAAAATATTTGTTTCAAAGTAAACTATGCCCAAATGGCACGCCTTTATGCCACAGAATATAAAATTGAATTGATTTTTTGTTTATCCCTTTCCTTAATTATTTTACCACATATTAACAGCTGAACGGTTTTTTGAGTAACAAGTTGGTATTTTCAACCGACTTCAAAAAGGAGGAGGTTCTCAATTCGACTGTATTTTTTTTTTTAAACTAGATATAATACAACAATTGATTACCCTTTTCACTGCATGTAGGCACGCAGTCTCGGACGACGGTTAATTCGCTCACGTATTTCTGAAACAAAATAAAAATATTACTTTGGGATTTTGATAGTGTGCTTTCATAAATAATGTCAAATATAATTAAGAAGCCCATATCCAGCAGTGGTCACCATGTGCTCATGTACTATATCTGAGTATTCACCAATGTGCTTATGAAAACTTTATCAAACGTAGTTTGTAGATCCGCTTAAGCAAATTGTGTTTATGTTCAAGTATTAGTTGAAATCGAACTTTTAATTCTATCAGGTATACGAAGTTGCCCGTTCAGCAGTTTCTATTCAAATTGTAAGTTACGTTTGATTATTGCAGATTAAATTGTTGTACACAGGTGGACTGACTTTTACCTATTTAATAAAACATATCTTGCTAATATTCTCAATATACCTTATATACTTATTATATACATATAATAAAAAATACATAGGGACGAACCCGAGTGGAGCAAAGGTGAGTCACCGGTAGTAAATATATTTCTAAAGTTATCATCTTTTCATAATTTTTTAGTTTAAATGACTCAATCTAACGAAATTGAATAAAAAGGAATTCAATTAGTATGTAAAACTCTATGGTATCAATCAAAAAAAATTTTTTTATTATATAATATGAAAACTTATTTTTCGTCAATATTCGGGCTATTTGAAAGATTAAAACATGGACACATATTTGTATATCTTATAGTATTGTTTGTTATTTATTTATTGTATGTATTTCATTTATATTATTATGTCTATACAAATATTCGGTGCGAGATCGAACTTATATCTCGCAAAAATATCACACTGCCCTATAGTCTACATTCGCTATATTTTAAAACTTTCCCGTTTTCTTTAACAAAAAGCTTCAAAGCAATTTTTGTTCCCATCATTTGTAATATTGTCTCAACTAAAATACATTTTTATAGCTTTTAACACTGCAATAAATCATGTGGACGCAACGTTTCATAGTTTTTGTTTAATTTCAAACTATTCTGTAATTGTTCTCTATATTCCTTTTCCAGTGTGTTCCAGTTTGTTATCTATATACATATATAAAAATGAATCCCTATTTCCCCTGGTCACGCTATCACGCGTGAACGGTTTGACCGATTTAACTTTTTTTTTAGTTGTGTTTGTTATTGTCAAGAGAAGGTTCTTATGAAAGAAAAAATTTAAGAAATTGCGCGGAATATTATAAAATTTAAAAATACTTAACAACCATATTAAAATGTATATGGCTAACGCTGGGTAATAACTATTTATATCTATTTAAAACGTACCTAGCGACGAACCCGATCAAAGCGAGGGTAAGCCGCTAGTTAAATATAAAATAAGTAATGTAAATATATAAAATATATAAATAAATAAATAAGTATGTTAAAATGTAAAAATGGATGTTCAGATGCTCTGACGAGTAAGAGAAGTTATTATTTTTATATATAACTATACTATAGCTATAGATATGCCCCCCGGTGCTACCCACATTTTTGTTTGATTATAAACATCAGTTTTACAATAATGTATGGAAGTCTGCCCGATTTGTTGACGTTTATGACAACTGCTCCGCTTCGTTGGTTAGTAGCATGATGATATGTAGTCTATAGCCTTCCTCAATATATCTAATGCAAAAAGAATTTTTCAAATCGGTTTAGTAGTTCAATTTTCTATTCAGTAACCTTTTAAGTTAAAAAGCAAATATATATTTTTCATTGGAAAGTTATAAAAATTATGAAACATAATTATATGCTGTTTAATTTGAATGTACATCCCCATCCCGTAAGTTTTAAAGCTTAGTATGGAATAGATAGACTATATATACATAGGTATGATGAGTTGGTTGGCAACCCATACAAATTTCCATCTCCTTATTCACCCATTTTGAAGGATGATTTCCGAGATAAAAACTATTTTACGTCCTTTCCAGGGTCCCAAACTATCTCCAGACCAAATTTCATCTAAACCGGTTCAGCGGATTAAGCGTGAAAAGGTAACTGACAGGCAGACATACATACAGAGTTACTTTCCCGTTTATAATATTAGTATGGTATAACGTCCTTTGTATACGCATATTAACCACTAGCGACTCAGCCTCGCTTCGCTCGGGTTCGTCTCTAGGTGCTTCCCCATACAAACTTCCATCCCCCTTTTCACCTCCTTAAGGAATGATTCCGGGATAAAAACTATTTTATGTCCGTTTCAGGGTCCCAAACTATCTCTATACCAAATTTCATCTAAATCTGTTCAGTAGTTTCGGAGCCTATTCGGTACAAACAAACAAACAAATCTTTTTTCTTTATAATATTAGTATAGATGTGCCAGACAAGTACTTAGGATACATCAGTTTAGGGCAAATTCTATTAGCTTTATGTTTAGTTTACTGTCCATCATGCACCGAGCTGTGCAAACCGCTTCGTTAGCGAAGGTAAATATTGCCTGTACTTGCCTATACATATATTACATACATATTTTTATTAAAGAACTGTGTTAAATAAAAAATATTAACAAAAAAAAACTTTAAAGACTAAGTTTTTAGATATTTAGAATCTGTTTATTTAAATACTAGCTCAAAACTCTTTAATTTTCCGGGATGAAAAGTAGCTGATTTATTTGTCATGTATGAACTATATTATTGTAAAGTTTCATTAAAATACAATCAGTAGTTTTTGTGTACTAAGCTGTATAAGTTGTTATAGTTTTTTAACTATCCCACAGGAACTCTTTCATTTTCCGGAATGAAAAGTATCTAAGATGCTGCCTGGGGATATAAGGTACCACCATGCAAAATTTCATTTAAATCGGTCCAATAGATTCGGAGATTAGCCCGTACAAAGAGAAAAACAGACAACCAGCTCGCTCGGGTTCGTCCATACCTACGAATATGTTGTATTATCTCTTTAACCATTTGTCCAAATTATGTGCGGTAAAATGGAAAAACCTTTTATTTTAAACATTTTAGACGATAAATTTACTTATTTTGATAAAATTATTTTTACTTATTTAAATTATTATTTTAATATAAAAAACTACTTTTTGTGACTTAAATATAAAAGTTAGACATATGCTGTCGCTGACTTTTTTGTAGGCATTATTAAGCTCCACAACTTTTCTCAAGAACATAATCATATATCTCTTATCGTTAAGGCAGCGTTCATAAGAAACGTTTTCGTTCGACCGTTTTTTCTCCGACTTACTTTGCAAATCCGATTACCACGAAAAAATATATAACCTATGACACTCAGAAAGAACGTAGCTTTCTATTGGTAAAAGAATTTCGAAAATCGGTTCAGTAGATCCAGAGATTACCCCCTACAACGTCACAAACTCACAAACTCACAAGATCACAAACTTTATCTCTTTATAATATTATAAATATAGATAAACGAATTAAAAAAAATACTTTTTAAATAATCTTTTACCAACAATTCTGAATAGTCTTTTTTTTTTAATTTAAATAAAATTTCTGTAAATAAATCCGTGAAGTCACCGGCTCGGAAAGCAGTTCTGCTGAGAAGAGCTGACGAGGCACTCAACAATCTATACAGATAAATACAATTGTGTGTATGTATGTGATGTCAAAATAACGACTTTTTACTAACACACATATTTAGAAAGAATATACAGAACTTAAAATAAAAAAATAATTTCAAAATATTTTGCTTGTCTTTTTGTCTGTTTGTTCCGGCTAATCTCTTAAACAGCTGGACCGATTTTGACGAAGTTTTCACTAGCAGATAGCTGATGTTATAAGGAATACCTCAGGCTACTTTTTTAAGAAAAAAGTTTAGGGTTCCGAGAAGTTTAGGGTTCAAAAATGCGAACAAAATGCACGTACCTAGGGACGCACCCGAGCGAAGCGATGGTAAGTCGCTAGTAATAAAAATACTATTTATGACAACCGATTCACAATTATTGCTAAAAATATCGTTCATTAAATCAAACAAGATATTTTTTAAATTGAACACTTAAGAATTTTTAAATTAGAAAAACAGAAAGGAGAGAAAGTGAGAGATATGTAAATAAATTAAAAAATTAAATTCAAGTTTTAAGTAAATATTTTAATTAGATATATGTATAGAAACCCCAGTTATTATTTAGCCTTTAGCATATAAACTTGATGTCAGCTAATAAAAAAAATTAATCCACACGCCATTTAGAATCTAATCGCTTGGTATTAGTCGGGAAATGTAGGCCAAAACTTCAATTTCTATTGTTACACTTCAAGCTGACGCCTTATTCATTTCAATTATGTACGAGTGACTTCATGCGTTAGCCAGAACGTGTCGAAATGAGATTTTTGTGCGACATACATACCTTCTTGTTGCGATAAGAGATACCTATGAGATACCTTTAATTTAGTACGTTAATTAGGAATACCTTTTGACTTTAATACGTTGGTGAAATGTGTAATATGAAATTTAGTTTGAAATCAACGGATACGGTTTCGATTCTGCCTGCCTGCTTTGTATGAGAGTGTAAAACGGGGAGTTCAAACTAAATATTTTCATCAGAATTAACTGACGGTGCTCTCTCTTTAACTCTCTCTATTTTCCATTCTATCTTCCTATCTTTCTCTTATTTAAAGACTTCTTACATCAATCATACATAAAAACTTGTATTTTATTTATAATAATAAAATATAATGCTTTAATAATATTAAATCATCATGTAGGTTAAGTACGATTCAGTAAATCACTTTATCCGTCAGTTATATGTCATATTGAAAAGCTTTAAGCTTTAAGCTTAAAGTATTTTTATCGGAATGCTATTTCACTTAAGTTGTTAAAACATGCAATGTCATTACAAGGTCATTGAGATATGTGTAATCCAAACACAAGTGACTCGCTCCTACTTTGTTCGGGCTGTTACTGCAGTCTGCAGTATTTCCGGAAATTCTAAAGGCTTCACGCCCAGCATATTGCATTGCAGCAGTATTGCCGGACGTTACTGACCCCCTACGATAGGATAAAAACACATCGAGGGTACTACAACTTACTCTACGAGTAACACAGGCATATATATTGTAGGTTAGCAGACTGTT